AGTTTGGTGTGGCTGGTGTATAGTAGATGAAGAGAAGAGTGATATAAGATAAGGCTGGAGGGACAGGCAGAGGCTGGATCCTGAAAGGTTCTATGTACCATGAAAAAGAGTTTGGATTTCAGTCTAAGTGCAATGGGAAGCAATTGGAGAAATTTAAGGAAGGAAAGATACAATGTGACTTACATTTAAAAAATCATTCTAGCTCTTATTTAAAGAACGGATTATAGGGAAGCTGGAATGTATAAAGAGAGAGACGCATGAGGAGGCTATTACAGCAGCCCAAGCAACTGGTAATAGCTGTGAGGATAAGGTTGATGGGAATAATATAGAAAACTGGGCAGACCTGGGACATGATTTAGAGGTAGAGTCAATAGGACTTGCTGATTGTCTGCATGCAAGTGGGACAGGTGGAGAGGAAAAGAGATGAATCAAAGACAATGTCTAGACTGGGCAACAATTTATTGAAGTATAAGAATGAAGCGAGCAGATTTTAAAAAATAATTCAAGAGTTTTGTTTTAGTCATACGAAGTTTAAGATGCCTACTAGATATCCAAGTGAGATCAACAGAGAAGTCAGGCAAAGAGGTACAAATTTGGGAGTCATCAGTATATAGTTGGTATTTCTAGTCAATCAACTGGATGAGATCATCAAAAAATAATAATATGTAGATACCGAGGTCTGAGAACTCAGCTTTGAAGCATTTCAACATTTAAAACACAACGCAGGAGGAAGAGCTAGCAAAGACTAAGAAACAGTCAATATGACAGCAGGCAAACCAGCAGAGTGTCACAGAAGCTAAGAGAAAAAAATGTTTGAAGAAGAAAGCAGAGAGAAGAACAGTGAAAGCATTAAGCTTGTGGCTCTCAAAGTGTGTTTACTGGTTCAGAAGCATCAGTATCACCTGGAAATTTGTAAGAATTGTAAATACTCAGGAGGGTAAGACCCAAGCAATCTGTGTTTTACCAAGCTTTCCAGGTAATTCTGATGTTTCAGAACGACTGCATTAGGCCAATACATTAACAAAATAATAAGACAAGATATTTCAGTGGAAGCCATCACAGAGAAAAGAGCGCCCTCTCCTGCTGTTGATATTATTGATGAAAGCTTTCCAGAGCACCCAGATACCATCTTGGGCAGGAGAAAGGGAAAAGGATAATCCTTATGGGGGAAAGCTGAACTTTGAAATAACTAAATACATCTTGAATTTTCTGAGTAAAAAATTACCTGAAAGAGATGTTTTACATTGAAATTAACCAAGTTACCTTTAATGTGACAAGATTAAATGCTTTCCTCTACTGAGTTGAAAAGTGGGAGGATTCAAGGTGGCAATTAATTACAGAAAAATAATTACTTTTCTGAACAATCTTCAAAAACAAATAGGAAATACAGACATGGAATTTAAAAAAAGAGTATAAGTATATATCCATAAAGGTTTGGGTGGAAAATACATTAGATGATATA